TATTTATGGGGAAGAGTACATCCAAATCTGTGCATGCGAGCCCACTTTAGTTTGATTAAACAGTACAATCCTCTGACCATAAACCAAAACTCAAATTCTTTTCCTAGTTTGCCCCGCAAGATAAACCGCTCCAGAGGAGGACGAATTAACTCCACCCAGATTAGTATGTAACCAGTGATTTGTGTTCTTCCTATTTGCGTATAAGCACTTACTGCCTTTGTCTCAGTAGTGGATCGAAGCTTGAATAAACCTACATATTAATGCTTACAATAGATCAGTGTGGAACAATTAAATTTACAGATTTATTCTTCAAAATGTTCCTGCTTATTGAATGATGGTCCATCAACTAAACATGCAAAATTTTAACTAGCTAGATTATTCTGTAGTGTTCTTTGACGTCAAGGCTTGAGTGATTGAAACGAAATTTATATTTGAACAGTTGTGTTTCTGGTAAAAGTAACTGAGTCTTCGATATAAATCTGCGTATCGCACACACGTAAGGTTCGTCCCAAATTATTGACACAGCTGTGAATAACATGAGTGACATTCACAGGGAAGGTAATTCAAGTGTCCTACAAATGTGACATCCTTCATTTCGTATCACAGTGTACTTATCCTAGTCACTGAAAGGATGTTTTCTGCAAATCACTGATTGGTTCTTCATGTTGTTGCTGACTGTATATGAATGTTCGGTTACAGACCATCAAAACTGGGAAACCAGAGAAACACTCAGGTGTTTGTTGTCTGCTGACCTTGTATTACTTGGGGATTTTTCCGATACATGTAGACCGTCTTCTCGTTTTACACATTTAAGTCCTTTCGTGCAATGAGCGAACAAGGTGAATACGCACAATGAGACGAGCGGCCTTCACACAGTCATCAAGGGCTTATTCTTTCAGACATTCATTTAGTGGCTAGTGCATCACTTCATTCACTATCCCTGTCTGTCTGTCTGTCTGTCTGTCTGTCTGTCTGTCTGTCTGTCTGTCTGTCTGTCTGTCTGTCTGTCTGTCTGTCTGTCTGTCTGTCTGTCTGTCTGTCTGTCTGTCTGTCTGTCTGTCTGTCTGTCTGTCTGTCTGTCTGTCTGTCTGTCTGTCTGTCTGTCTGTCTGTCTGTCTGTCTGTCTGTCTGTCTGTCTGTCTGTCTGTCTGTCTGTCTGTCTGTCTGTCTGTCTGTCTGTCTGTCTGTCTGTCTGTCTGTCTGTCTGTCTGTCTGTCTGTCTGTCTGTCTGTCTGTCTGTCTGTCTGTCTGTCTGTCTGTCTGTCTGTCTGTCTGTCTGTCTGTCTGTCTGTCTGTCTGTCTGTCTGTCCATCAGTCTGTCTGTCTATCTATCTATCCACTAATCTGTCTGTCCATCTATCCGCGTGCCTGACCGTCTGTCCTCCTATGGGACCCTGTGTCTGACTGTTTTCTTGCCTGTTTCTAGTTGGTTTATCGATTGTTCTGTTCAGTTACTTATATCAGCACCGATTTTCCTGGCATTATGAAATTTTGTGCTACCGCATACTAGTCTTGCATACAGCACTGGCTGCACTTAAAAATACTGTGTTCAAATTTAGCCCTACATTCTAGAAAATTCATTTTAACTTATGGAAAGGGTCTTCTCTATTAAAGCTCATAATGACCTCGAAAACCTATTAGCAGTGATCGCCATTGTTTACTTCTCTTTACTGTCATATCAATCATAAAATACGTATCTCGGTCCAGAGACGACGACTGACGTTATTTTTGCCCTGAACGGAGGCCAGTTTAGAACAGAAGCTGCCTTTGTATGATAAGTCCGAAATCTGAACTTATGTTTGATATCCTGAAGAGGTTAACTAGACTTCCGCCCAGAATTAGTCGATAAACAATCTGTCAGAAATTCCGAGTGCGAAACCTCGGCATAAGTTGTGATCACTTCATAAGGTGCTCTTGTCGTTGTGACAAATGGGTGGTTAGGACATTCTTTGTGTAACACGGAAAAGGTTGGTTGGATTCTTTTGCCCATCGTCTTGGCACCAACTAGGCAATACGCTTATGGAAAAAGTGAGTATAACTTTTAGCTGAAGTGCCCATACTCGATATAGCGAGAGTTAGCTTGGAATTAGCATAACAAAACGAATCCGTCTGTAGAGTGCCTACACAGAGACTAGAGTCCAGGTACCTACCGAAATGAATAAGAAGTCGGATAACATGACAAGTAAACTACCGGACGCAGTGTAGTTAAACTCCATTGGGAATCTCATCTGGAGACTACCCGATAACTAGCTGTGTGCTGAGTCTGATCATTTCTTAGTGCTACGAAACTAACAATCGCCTTAAACAAAGCAATCGTATTTGAAAAAGTATAAAAACTGTGTCTCACAAAACGTATTTGCGTGGCATGGTTTACTCCGGCATCCACCAATAAAATGGCACCACGTCATAGCTGCCATGGAGCGTCATTCTGGAATTTTTAAGTGGAGAGCTTATCCAAGCTTGATCCCTCCGCTACACCTATCCAGGATTTCATGCTTCATACGACCGGACTGCTTTGATATTGCCACTTTTTGATCCTAAGCGAGAAACCATATACCCGTTTAATTTATCCTGCAATTTCGACATCTCCCGCATCTGCGACTGACCCAGCGTGTGCCTCTGGCGTGTTTGATGAGAAGCTGTAGTAAATTCACCAGTCGCTCCTTGTTACGTTTCAGATTTATCTACCTTGGTTGATTGTTGGTAATCTTTGCGCATAGCGTGGCCCGACGAAATCGATGGGATTTTGCTTTGTGGTTCATGTATCTCGTTATGTTTCAACACCTGCCTATACAATTGTGCACATAGATCTGCTTTATTCCTGAGTTGATGTAAATGGTCCCAGTATAGTTGACTTACTACTTACATATTGATCAACTGTCTTGTCAAACGTGACTAAAATCCGCAGTCATCGTATACCTTTTGACTCAAACGCCGAATTTCCTGGCAGGTGGTCTAACAAGGTTGCCCTAAAGGCGTGCTTTATTAGGTCTGCTTTATAATTGCAATTGGAGAGTATATTAGTGTATTAGGTTGTAGTGATTACAACCATTTTGTTCACTGAGCTTAGCGATTTGGTTGCAGACGTCTCGTGGTTAGTCTGGGTGACATCATCTGTGAACTGTGAGCGGAAGTGCATCAGTGTGAGTACACCTCAGAGCGATTCCTATCACAGTGTACTGACAACGTCATCTCGACTGGTGGTGAAGTGTTTGCAAACAAACTGTCCAGCTCAGTGAGCAGACCAACATCCAGACTTTATATTATACCGGCTAGGTGGTTTTCGTTCTCCCTGTATTGGATCTCTCCCTCTCTGGATCATTTGCGTGATAAGCAATTCTGTGTAATCAGTTAATAATCCAAAACTATACCTGAGGCGTTTGATTGTGCTCGGAGCAGTGGGTTCCCATTCCAGATGATACCAGCTGTACCGTCTTAAACCATTTCGCAATACGGCTGTTCTTCTCCAAACTGGTCTGTCCTTCTTATTAACAGTATGCCTAAAGTCCACGCGGATGAATTCAGAAATGCTCGAATCCATTATTCGACCATATCTTTTTTCTATATGATTTAATGTTTTGGCACACGAAGTTCGCCTGATCGTAGTAAAATGTGCCTTCTCTGCCGACTGTGACTGATCTTCGTTGGGCTTACCTTTGTTTCATATTCTACACGCCTGTTATTAGGCATGGCGGTTTATGTAGGCCTCCAAAAAGGATCGTATGTCCAAACTTATACTGTCAAGAACAATTTAGAACAGTCCAGCGCCCCGCCCGGGAGAGCCAACTGAAATTTGAGGTGGCCATTGTACAGCACATTTAGTCGACGAGGAACGTCATAAAAGAGTTTCAACTGAGATTGAGTTGAGTCTCCGACCGAAGCGAAATTTGTTTGCAGATGAGTGTGTTTCACTGAAAACTACTCCAACTGTGGTTTTCATCTAAAACGAAATGCTTTTGATCCCATGCTACACAGTACTTTAATAGTATGATAACGAGGTTAGCTGGTTCGAGCTGGAATACTGTAGTTGTAAGCGTAACTCAATGCAAGCCTGAACTGCCCGTAAGCTTCGCCTGTCGGCTGATAGCACCAAATCTCCATTGCTTTCTCGAGGCGACTAGAAGCGGCCGTTGTTTAGATAGCTTACATATCTGGACCCAATTCTGAATGACTCTGATTTGTCGTACTCTTTGCATTCCAGTGTTGTATGAGCGACTGAGCAGGATGAATATGTTGGACTCTTTAACGCTACATTCATTAAGAAATGCCCCAGAATCGCAGTATATAAATCTTTCTGTCGTTTCGACCTACTTATCGCCGAGCAGGATTCCGTAGGCAAGTCGTCTATTCCTCTGTTTTTTCTAACAGTCTCTACGCCTCATTCTGCACCAGTAAAGGGGAAACGCCGTCACAAGGATTTGATCCGAACAGAGCGATGGCTGCCAACATTTGAGTCTCCCTTACAAAAAAGTTTTTACTCGTTTTTGCAGTAAAGTCACCTTAATCTAGCACAAAATTTTGTGCATAAGTTTTGAAAAGTAGCCTTTTAAACTAGGCCACTTACCCCCCCAGAGTGGTCTAGGAAACATCCACCCATGGGAATCAACTCTTTTGATTCTCATACACAAAGTCGCTTTCTGCAGGCCACCGATTCAAGTTATCCAAAATATTGAGAGCTTGAACTGTTATCTGTCGGAAGAAACTGATCGCCAACATAGCTGGCATAAATTTGCGCTGCCTCGTTAAGCATAGAAAGTCCGTTTTCTCTGGATATCTCATGAATTCAGAGGCCGAAATAGATCCAAATAATCGAAATGATGATTTAGTTCATTCTTAGAGCAGAGCTAAAAGCAGGGATCTTAGATGATGGTTAGTTAGACCAGCTGTTCTATTGCCTAATTACTAGATCTATTGAGGCTCCTTTGTGCCTTGAGACTGAAACCACTGATCTTATTGTAGTCACCTAAATGCTAACTTTTCTCTACTCTTCAAACCCTCAGGTCTTATCCAGCTGCGTCACGTCAAAGAATTCAAAGCCGCCAAGGAACTTGAACTGCAACAGCAAAAGAAGGCCCAATCTGAGAAGGCCAGGCAGAAGGCTGCCGTGGTTCTTGGGAATGCTGGTCCCTTTGCGCTACTAGGTCATACTGTGGGTGCCATGCAGCCGAACCAACAAAATCCCTTCCACCAACTCATTAGTGGAGGTGTGTTAGGGGCTCGGGTGTTGGCGATGGCGGGTAAAGATAAACCTGCTTCAAAATTGGAGACAGGTTCAACAGACAAAGGAATAACAACCCCCATCAACACTACAGTTGACAGCGACATGCCCAAACAACCGTTGAAAGAAGATCTCTCTACGCAGCTTAATTTGAGGGCCACTGGATCACGAAGCAGCAGTAGGGCGTCTATGATTAACACTACCTGCAGTCTTATGTCACAAGGCGCACCGGTATATTTACAGCGGGAGCCATCACTGGGTCCACTACCTGCCCGACTTAGCAAACTGAGAAGGAAGCTTATACGTTCAGTTACTGCGGCTGCTGGTGGGACCAAAAGTGCCTCTGCAGGATCCATAATCCACGGGTCAGTTAGTGAGCTTCATGGCAATTTGAGTGCTCCAGGGCTGACACGACATGCCACAGAAGAGTACGATGAATGCGAACGTGGGGAGTTGGCACAATTTCAGGCACCTGGTGACTGGTTAGAGAAGGGTGCGCATAGCGAGAGTGCAGTATCCACTCAAGACCAATCTGTGACAACAGTGTTTGATGGACCTCGTGGACGTCGCACACCGTCCCAAGATGGGGACATCTTGGTTCAACCGACTATTTCGACAAACGACACTACCAGTGGGACTACATTAGAAGAGAGTGCGTCCGTGCGCTCTAGACGATACTTCACGAGCTCGTTCACGGAGCAAGAACCAATCGTATCCACAGTTCACACGCAACACAAGATGATGACAAACCGTGCAGTCAGTACCGCTTCCAGTACATGCGCCCGTAAACGTCGTGACAACTTCCGAAAAGGACGCAGTTCTGCTTTCACCTGGGTTGTTAATGACACAATCGGAGAGACTGGTGAGTATCCACAGGAAGAGGAAACTCCTTTGCTATCAACGATCGTACCCAGTGAATCCAAATCAGTAGAGCTACAGGAAAACACACTGAAACAGATCCCGCCGAATGTTACTTCCAAATCCGTGGAATTTGTGTGTACAGATCGAGAAAACCGTTTTATTGAAAACAGGTCATTCAGACCGGCCTTGTCACATGTCTATGTGAATGAGCAGTGTACAAAGGAAGTCAAGGATATCCTGAAACCGCCGGATATCCCAGTATTAAAAGTCGATGACATCAGCCGCGACCAAGACTCAAGCGAAGAAGGTACCTCATTCCAAAGACGGTAAGTAATGTGGTCGAAGTTCCCATCTTCGCAAAAGCATATAACTTACACTAAACAATTCACTAAATGAATGCATATGACAACGTGGGTCCTACAGTTTACCGAATCGTAGAATCGGAGGAGTGAATACGGCGGCAGATAGTTTCAGTATTAGGTAACCATGACCAGCGACAGGGAGTTAATCTAGAAGAACGGATCATAGAACGGATCTCCAGGATATTCAATAAAATATGATATGCAAAGGGGCATTCATTATCTCGCTCAGATGACTGTCAGTAAGATATCATTGAAATCACGTACCTTGAGCTCCGAAAGACATTCTGGATGTTCACATGGTAAGAACCAATACGTAAGCCAGTAGAACACCGAGCAGACCACACTGCGATCGGCGGCCTAACCAGATAACCGAGTGATAGAAATCTACCTAAACCAACACACCATTCGTGAGGCTGCTAAGAACTTTCTGACAGCGTACAATCGGTTTTACCTTTCTTGCGGCTCGTCAGGTAAGCGCAGTCCCTAAAGTTCCCTCCACGTTATGCTCTACTGGGTTCCAAACTGGGCATATTTTAACAAATAATCTCATTTTTACAAAAACTGATTCGCGCGAAATTGGAGTGTAAACCTGTGTTTTAGTTTTTTAATGAGCAGCAATCAGTTACTCCATGTGATAGACATAACAGTAGTACATCCTTGGCCATCTACTTCTGTGAGATTATTTCTGTTTGTAGATGTTCCGCTTCGTTCTTAACAGACTTCAAGCCTCAGATGTTACTCATTTCGAGATAGATATTAGGCTTTTGAGGGACCAGTTTTATTTCTAACATACTTGATGGGAACAGAATCCATCAGTGAGGTGCTTCCAGCTGGCTTCTTCAGAAGAGAGGCATCTGTAGGAACAAATACTATTTAGTTATACAGAGTGGTTTCTGGGAAACAAGAAAGGAGGAATATTGCGTGCGGTTATATGCCCTTTAAAATGAATAAAGTGACCATGTACCACTTTGACTTTTCGTTCATTCACATTTCGCTAAGCTTATTTGACCTTGTCAATTGGCACTGTCACTGAATGCGTGTAGTTTATATCAAGGTTGACCAGATTATATCACAACAAAATGATCTGTTACGTGGGGAATTCTCTTTCAGAGAATTCTCGCTTTCAAACCAGGCTTCGGAATTTTGATTTTCGTCCCAGGTATACGGAGGTTTGAGAGTTTGTGATGAGTTCTCTTACCCACTGATAATCTGTAGGCGTTCGTTTGACCTGGATTAGATGTGACTCGGTTGAGGATCAAATGTCGTAAGAGGAAAGCGTCACTGGAACAACGCTCTTTCGATCAAATTGGAAACCAAACTATCCATGTCGACTTTGATCGCAGCTGAGATTTATAACATTGACTTCTATCTGCCAGCTACTTTAATCTTAAAGATAAGACTGTTTCTTCAACTGTGGCACGATTATCTGTTCCTTAGCAGGTCCACGTGTTAGCTAGAATTAGCAATGCAAAACACAAGTATATTCCGTACAGTAGTTTTATGAACATACGTTCTTTATTACTCAGTTGTTCGTGGAAAAATCAGATTGATGAAGAATGAGTCTGTCGAGCACATTACAGGAATTTACATCATAATTTCTCAAGTGATAAACCCTGGTCTTCCACTCCGGCATCGAACTTCCGATACGATCGAATGGGCAAGTTTTAGACTCAATTTTTGCTCCTATTAAAGCGCACTAGTAGCTCTTACCCTTGACTGCGTGGGAGCTTGACTTCCGACTACCTGACGTGAGAGCTGGTCTTGTTACCACACCCCACATTTGCGTGCTCGAGGTACCTGAATTATTACGTCAAAACGGACGAACTGGTCTGCAATAAAGCAGTGCGCATAGACTTCCAGGTAGAGACGAGTCCGTCCATGTGTAGACCGAAATTCTCTCAAGTACACCGATTTCAATTTCATGACGAGTGGTATTTCAGCTTTCAACTTGAGAATAGGATCGCGTGTCTGTAAGGCCCATCTATCGGATATGAAGCAATCTCCCGATTAGACAGACCACTCGAACTCCTCTTAGTATCCCAAATGCGTTTCCACTCACCACACGATCACAACTGTCGGAGATTTTGTTAAAATGCTGTCAGCTGACCCTTCAGACAGCCGAAGGAGTAAAAGTCGCACAATTAGTTTGAACACAATTCGTTTTATTCTGAAGAAAAGAACCTGGCTACTGATTCAACTCGTCGTCGTCAAGGCCTGAGGCCTATGGACCAACTTTCTCTTTCTTTCGTTTGATTGGCTAAACCTTCATTGGATTTGGCTGTTTTCTCGAGAAAAACGAACTGTGATTTTATTTTAACTTTGTCTATTAGTACCAGCTACAGTATGCAATGCAGTTCACTGGATGTCTCTCATCCGAAGGATATTCAGTCATTTATCCCGGTTTTGTATTTAAGCAAAGTAGAAGGATTAGTTGAGAGTCCCGCTAGCAGATCCGGTTGTTTATGAGTGACTCCAACAACTTGATCTTGGAGTCCGAAAAGAATTGCTAACGGACATAAACAACAGTTTCTAAATGATGCATGAAGGATTATGTAGCGGAATCCCTTGAACGAATGACTCGATGAAATCTTTGCCGTGACTCTAAAATGCATAGCGGAAACGTTTTCACCAGATCTGGATTTTACAGCGCTCACCTGTTTGGAAAACAAACAAACATTGCAACATTTAGTCTAGGAATGGGTGCAGACGACTTGCAGTCCGACTGATGAAGAAAAAATTTCACCTGTACGCCTTCCTAGCTCTCTGAGGGAGCTAGAACACCATCAGCAGTTGGGCTTTAGCTCACCTCACGGATATAAGACATCAATTAAATTCTGCGACAGTATTTTGTGGTCTTTACGAGTTTGGTTTGAGGTTACTCCGGCTATCCAAGTTTGAAGTCATGACCACCACATAATCTGTGGCTAGTAGAATTCACACACCTGAGTTGTACATTCAAAAGCTTCTGGTCCATATTTTTGCGCACCATAACCACATTGATTCCACGAGAGCGACCAGTCACTCCCCGTGGCCCTCGTTTGGGTCCTGACCGCAGAAATTTCGGTCCCCCACCCGGTTCTCATTCCCAGGTTGTCAGAGTATTTGTTCTTACATTCGACTACATCATAATACAGTCACTTTTATTATTCCTACTATAATGAGGCTACTTGATGCCATTATTACTCCTGTGCTTGTGTGCGCACAGCTTGGAGGATAACGGTCAGTTTATATACTCATAAGGTTGTTGTGTTACAAACTTGAAAATATAAGAATTCTCAACATCCGGCGCCTATATCTTCAGACAAAAATATATGCTCGCAAGCGCACAACACCTATGACATTTTAAAACACCATTAAGCCCAAGGTTCAAGCGTGTAATTCGGCTGCTCTCTCCCGCTGTTTGAACTCACTTGGTGTCCGACGAATGCTTCACACATGGGGCTACGGTAGACCTGTCAATTTCATGCTTGCACAGCTAGACGTCAGCCTGAGTTAATGTTCACTTTTGTCCAACTACATCCAGTCTGTTCGAAAAGGCTAATCATGGGCCCAAGAGCAACCAGCCGATATTTCCATAAATGTCATACAGATGACCCAACAGAAGCCTTGATTAAATGAATACTTCTTAAAACTTGGAACTTCTATGAACTTGTTGCCATAAATAGAGCTTGATGTAACCACATCATAGTGTAGCCCGAGGTTACGCAACACCCAGAATCTTTGTTTACCCGTTCGACGTGATTTTTGATATGAAAACGGAAATCCGGTGTCGTGCGGTTGCCGTAGCAACGGTAACCTAGTTCAGTGGGGACGAACTGCTAGAAATGTCAGTTGGTTATTTTATTCAATGTCTGATTTGGGACTACCAACGATTCACATGCTTGCTTTATGCGACAAACTTTGCCACGCGTTTGGCTGATGTTCACCGAGATTATAAGAGATAAGAGTGAACAAATCACCGCTTCAGCTTCCGCTGCCCATCCTCTCCTTAAACTTTTGGCTGTGCACTCTAGTGGGCTGAAGCGTTCCGGTCCTCCTTTAACTAACCCTGTGGCAGCGACTTGGGTGAATAGCGGAAGAAGACAACTTTGAATTTGACCGTTTATTCCTGGGGCTTCATTTCCTGCGTCTATCCAAAAAGATTTGATAAGGAATGCTTTTTGTACAGTTGACTTTTAATACAGTTTGAAACATTGAATGGTAGTGAAATGGTGAGAGGTGGGCAGCAAAGAACATTTTGGTATCGCTAGATGGGGGTCAACCTGAGCAGCAATACTATGGGTTTCGTGTCAAGTATGATTGAGCAAGGGCTGAGAAAGTTGAACTCTCAATGTCATATCATAGCATCTACTGGTTTAAAACATTGGTGGCAATTTTGCTCATTAACAGAAACTACCTAAAGGAAACTGCTCACAAGGTTGCTAAAAACTCTTCGACGGCCCACGGGCGGTTTCGCCCTTCTTGGGGCACAGTACATAGGCGCAGTCTCCGAGTTTCCGTCAACCTTATGTTCTACTTGAATCCAAATTGCACTGTTTTCGAGAAATACACTCATTTGCAAATCCCTTTGGTTTTTACGAGAGACTCTACTGAATCTCTCGTTTATGATATTCTACGATTGAATGTGCTGCACACAGGCCGCCTCATGATTCGATTGGCATAATGTACGAGATATCGCGGTATATTTTCATGAATCATGAAAAATCATCTTGAGAACCAAATTGACTTGCAACTGTGTGTACTTCTCGAGAAACTACCTAACTTTCGTTGTTTATTGGGTATCATTCAGCGACACCGCAGTTTAGTCGACCTGGAACACACTCACCTACTTCGCACTGATGAACGGTAGATAGTCCAGGGTTATTTTGTGCTCATGTGATGCCCTAAAGCCTCTTCAAGCCACAGCACCAGCAGAAAGTTAAAAATCTAGAAAAATGTAGGTGCTGGCAGGTGGATAAAACAGAAATGCCCGCAAACAACATGTCTGGCTCTAATGACTATTGTGAGGCTCTTTTCTGCACTGATGTTGGACGACACTATGTAGCACCACCTTAATACGTGGCGGAGGCTCTTTTCTGCACTGATGTTGGACGATACTATGTAGCACCTTAATACGTGGCAACATGATCCAGAGACAGTAACAGTGTTGTGTGTGCTTCCATTATGGAGCCGTCAGTATTTCAATATCATGAACGATCGGATAAGTCGTGTCTAGATGGCGATTTCCTCATGGGTTCAAAAAGGTTGTTGGGTTTTTCTTAACTCCGGTGTGGAACTGAAGGCTCTGAACATTGGATAAGCCCACTCAGGCATTTCGCCGCACACCGGCAAACTATGACGGAAGGCGTGAGCTGTTCCTGATGGCAGCATAGTTTAAAACATGGTATGACCCCCTCATAAGAACCCTCCGACGCTCGTCATAGACACGAACTCAGCGTTGTTGTTCCGACTATTGTATGTGGGGAAGGGAATTCAGTTAGTTACGATCGCCAGTCATCGGCACTGGAGCCCAACAATAGTGTCCAACATTTATCTCCTAATGTTGCTTCACCAAGCGACGTCTCCTAAAAGGCATGACAGTTCAAAATCACCCTAAATGACTTCCCGTGGTAGTAATGACTGTCTGGCTGCATGAATATTATGGTCTCACATGGCTTAATAATGCTTGTTGCCTCTCTTTCGTCATCCCGCTTTTGTTCTTGACTGGTTCAGCCCAAAAATTTTTACAAAAAAATGTTTCAGCTGATGCATCTGAAACGTGAGTCGCTTTGCCGAGTGACTGCATGTTTTGTGAGTTCCGTGCAAAAGAATCGTTTTTTTGCTCGTATTGTCGAACTGTCAGGTCATTAATGCACTATTCATTACTCTACCAATATTGTATTTGATATGGAATATGCGATAGTCTGTATTATCTGTTCGGATTACACTCAACAGCACTCATAGCATAGTTCCCATCTCATCGCCTGACAGGGTGAGGGGCAGGCCAAAGCACAGTCCACCGGGCTATTCATGGTTCACGACTGCTATTCACTCCAGACAGGGATGGACGAAGTAATAAGAGTAAAACAGAACAAGCAGTTTCGGGTTTTCGAATGGGAAGGGACAAGCTGCCTCGTGATAATGAGATGCGTGCAAAGTACTTGAATTTATCCATATAAAGTGGTATGAGATATCAAGTCAAAACAGAACGGGTGGGCAAATTTTGAGACAATTCACTTTCCAACACGGTGACGTGTAATCGAGGTTTGCCTGTCGCCTGTTTATACTCAAGTCACGCATTTTCGACCAACACGTGTTATGCCTTAGACGAAATTCATTTTAAGATCTGTCTGAGCACGGCTGGTGATTGCATTCATGCCTTTCTCAGTGAATGATTCCAGCTGCATATTATTCGTAAAATGTGTCGAAGGCTTCCTTTAGACTGACCGATTTGGTTTATCGTTTTTCGTGTTTTGTATAGTTTTAATGCGTTCCTATAAAATTATTGCTTTGGATAAAAAAATTAGCGCTCTTCATTTCCACGGTTTTTGGTGCTTGCAAGCCGCCGACATACATACAGAAGACTATTTGCTGATGGCCTCAATAAGCACAAATAACTTGGACTTTATCTTAGGTTTTGACAGAAAATTGATGAATATTCGTAACTCACAACAAGGTGAATTATTCTCATTGAAGGCCATATTTTATTATGCAATTTTTTACCAGATGAGACAGCCTTACGTGCACGTCAAATCGTTCGCATATCACCACCGTATACATCCAAATCTAAGTATTATGTATATATTTATTTATATCTGTTTAGCCAGCAGAGTCAAGTTTAGTTGCCATGCCCTTTAGATAACACGGAAACCTTACCCTGTACATGATCTGTTTGCCTAAGTAGTACATTGATTCGAACAGGTTGCGAGAGGCGAAAACCTGCAATAAAGCTCATCTGTGCTGGAAGTCCAAGAGATGAAATAGAGCTACCACATTCCTGTTGGAGTTCATCAACAGACGAGAAATCATCACATAAGAACCAGTCGACGTGTGAGCAAACGTTATAAAATGTATGATAGATGTGCCAGAACCTTTCCGAATTCGCACTGCAGGGCGACCAGTCGGGCCGAACAATGTTCAAATGTCAATTCGAATCACAATAGGCACTCGTGATGTGCCCCCTGCAGCTGACTTCTAACAGGACTGAGGCGGTTGCACGGTGCTTCTCGGCTACCCTCCATAATTGAATGCTGAAAGCACTAGAGAAATTGTTACTTCTAGGTAAATTTCAGCCAAATTGGTATGACCGAAGCCGCATCGTCTATATTGAGGAAGGCATTGCCAGCGTACATATCCTGGCTTGTATTTGGTGATTTTGTCCATCTTTATATTCACTTTGAAACAGAAATGAGGCCTTCTAAGTTGACGTGAATTTAACAACTCGTCAGATATTAATTAGTGCGCTTTGTAATGGTGCATAACGCTAGGAATTTTGTTATACTTGCCACTGTCTAGTTCTCATGCTAACGATGCAGTTTGCCAGTCGCATTAACTTTTTAAAAGCCCATAGAACAAAAGAAATGTAACAGCGGCAGAATTTCCATCACCTTACATTTTGTTTTCTCATCTACTCAGACGGGACGCCGTGAATAATCAGTTGCACCAGCGCACCATCCGCAACGTTGGCTATAGACTCGGGCGCCGAAAAAGACTGTTTGAAAAACGTTGTCGCATTTCGGATTTCGCACTGATTTTCGCCTTGTTTGGCATTGTTGTGATGTTGGTCGAAACAGAGCTGACATTCATCGGCGTATACCAAAAGGTGAGTGCTACCCCCTTTGCTCCGTAGTCGATGAAAAAAGATGTAATTGGCGCAGGTGTTCTCTGCTTTATTATTTCACATTATTTCACACCACGTCCCATCAAAGGATAATGGAGACACTAAGGCACTTGTCACCAGACCTCTGGTAGCCAGAAAACCAGACTCACCGTCTGTACCCATTAGGTTTGGCGACATACAGCTTTTGAAAATGCTCAGGACTCACAAGCACTGAGTTTCATTATCCCAAGTAAAACTTCATTCTCTGATTCTATTAACGGCTTGTATTTGAAAGTTAAATTTCAGCAACAAAATAAATGCTACCAAAGAGTCGGTTTTGAAATTTAACTCTCGGAGGTGCGGAAGCATCATACAGATCGGTCTAATACGCCCGCTCAACATAGTATCCGTAATACTAATCATATATCAGGGATACGAGTATCCGCAGTTAGCACGAAAATAAGAAGCTCATGTTTTCGTCGTTTCGGATTGCTCAGCTGTCCTCGGGCATTCGGAATGCTGTTGTATGTCTAGAAGGCAGTATATTGAAAGTTGACCAGGTGGTGACTAAACCTCTTGCCAAGTTTGGGAACCGACTAGCCAACATTTCGTCACTAAAGGAGGGGACAGTATCAGTAAGCAGCTGTCTGTGCGGTCTTACATTTTTCCGCAAATTTCGGTTGTTTTCTTAAACGCCATTTCGATAATATTGGGCAAAGACAGACCACCGTTATGTCAGACTATTGCATCATAAACCAAAGTACACTAAAATGCGACGCCTCACCCTATTTGAGTTTTGTATCCAATTCCATCCCTACGAGACCCTGATTATACGAAAATCTGGAAATAAAAGTGAATATTACTGCCTTTTCAAACTGCTCTTTGGATTTACATCCATCACTTTCCTGTGAACACACCGCACGCTTACTTAGCTTTCGTTCTAAATTGTGAGGCCGATTTTATTTTGTGTTTATCGGTGCTGATAGATTCTTCTGGTCCAAAATAAAGGGACTCTGCAACGCAACCATTTGGGTTTGCTAACCTGGACACTGGGTCAGACTTAAAGGCCTATAAAAACTCGGTGATTTTGAGAGCTGGCAGTTGCAAGCTGCATATTCCGAGGCAATTTGAATGTCAATGGTTGCTTTTCTTGCGAGAAGATCGGAGCAAACGATCATGTCAACGAGTTATAGCTGGAGATCACTAGCTTGTCTCCTTCTGCACCTCTTAGAGCGCTGATATGCGGTCTTTTTGAAAAACGCTGCGTCATATTTTATGTTGCTTATTAACGCACACCCACAGATCATATACCATAATTGTAGTGTTTCAGGTTGCATGGGTGTTTCTTTTGAGCAAGACTTCCTCCAAAAAAGTGACATTCCATTGTTAGTTAGTTTGTTAATTTAAGGTGAACTTTAAAGTTTAATCGTCTTTTCGTCTTTAAAATGAAGTTTATCAAAGCCTAACGATCGAGAACCAATGTACGGCTGTTTCATTCAATCGTCAGAAATGTGTATCCTGAGAAAAACTATGGGATTTGGGCCTGTGACCTGTCTCCTAGTGGTTGAGGTTTATTCTGCTGAGCCAAACTAGCTGGTCAACATTGTGATTAATTGTCATTATTTGAGCACAATACAACTCAAGCCACCCTACACTCTTGACGCCCTGGCACTTGGTAACCATTTCGTCAATCCAGAGCTGAATATGATTGCTGGGTCTTGAGCGTACAAACATTTTTGAAAGTGTTGACCGGAAACTTGCCATTACAATAAAACCATCAAAGTGTATGATAGATTGTGAACTTGAAAAAATGTAATATCCTTACTTAAACGAATCGGAACGTTCACTACGACCCACAGACTTCGGTAGCTTTGTTTTCCCAGTATATCTTTTGTCACCTCCATCCATTTACCTTGTTGCACATATCCTGATAACGATGTTACTGCGTGCTTTAACTTTGGTTCTCAAGTCTGTTTTGATTTTCCGAGCGAGCTGTTCGTTACACGGCCCCTTCGTTTTTTTCTCTGATACGTTGCAAGGACTTACTGCTGAAACATTTATTCTGTCATATACACAGTTGTATTTTCAAATCGTATTACGTATTCCGTGAAGTGAAACTGCTTTCTACCAACTATTTATTGCTGATCATTCCGCATCATCTTATTGTTGAAATTTTTATCCCGTAAACTCTTACATAGTAGTGTCACCTTTTCCTACTTTTTATCTGGCTCACAAAACAAGAATCAGTGCTAACTGCACACCCTTAATTTGTTGCTGCCTCACTGAATCTTGCAAGGACGGTTTCTTAGGGAATATCAGTCTCCTTCAGCTTGTTGATTTATCCAATTTTTCAACGGTCAACGTGCACCGCGAGCCAATTATCTGCACGAACGACCTCTCCAATGTACGTAATCCGATGTGGAACCATCACTAATATCCGCCCTTAAAACGCGTATCATACTGATGATCGGCATGTGTCTACCAGCTGGTAGTCAAATGCGTGTTGACCGGATTGGCGAACTGCCTAGCAAATTTTCGACACCAACAGGGCACATATCTTCACTACGAGTGCACCTGTCTTGTGTGCTATCGACTAAAAACTCAGAGCACAGGTTTCCCAGCCCCTATCGCCCCTTCGCTGTTCGTCGATATACGCACGTCCACGATCAGTAAAACCCGACGAAATATTTGCACCAGATAAACTTTTTTCATGGTGTTCACATGTAATCTATTGCGGAATTACGGAATATTTGAAAAGTATCCTCTCGAATGATTTTTTTACCGAAATTGTGAAAAGAGTGCTCTCAGTGCACAGGGTACTCACTAGATGCTTGCGACAGTAATTTGAATAAACTGCCTCTTGGCCAAACGTTTTGACGAAAACTAACGAAAACAAATGGATATCCTTACAGCTGTCACAGTCTGAAATCGCGTTCTTTAAATGCTCCCAGCGGACTGATTTATTCAGACAAATGCTCAGACTACATTCCAACGCACATCTGCTATATATCTTGGGATGTGCACACCTGATAGGCTATTCTCGGGTTCCCTAAGTCGAGAGAAAACCCAAGGAAATTCTAAGAGTAAGTTGCAGTTAGAGACCTTTTGATTAGCGCCTCAGCTATCTCAGAACTGATGGAATAATCATCATCTACAGATGAGAGAATAACCAACTCTCATTCCAGGTGAGTAAAACGAAGGTTTTACGGTGACCACGTTCTAACGATTTTTCGACAATCGATTTTGTGCTTCTCCGAGACACATCATGTGCAACTAGGGTGAAAATACTCTGTCCCCTCCCTCATTTAACTCCTTCGTATCACTGAATTTAACCTTGGTGAAGGATTTCCAATGAATCCAACCACAATCAAAACCGAATTCAAAAACATTCTTTCCGTGCAACACTCACAGAAAATTAGACTTTGTAATGACAAGTGCAAGAACGATACATTATTAGACACCTATAGAACAAGGATATTCATCTGGTCTGAGGTATGCATGACTGAATAAAATTGGGCTGGATGTGAAATAAGCCGACCAGATGCTGTCGCGTCTGTTTTGTTACGTATGATATTCATTGGATGGACTATTCATGACTTAGTAATGATACGTCCAGTGGGAATGCTCTGGTCTGCCTAAAACGACAAATCATGTGACCATAAGTCCCGAATTTTACTTCCCTAAAGTTGATATCTACAGACGGAAGAGTGGATAACATATGGGCCTTATGTTTCTCAAAACAGTGCCTCACACGTTCAGTCAGGTTGTCTTCCAATTGATCAAAAAATTACTCTGCCTGAGCAATCATCGTTCCTCGTTAATGGCCTGGTCTCTACCAATTAAATCTGAATTCCATATGAGACCTCGACATTTTGAAGCTCACCAGAAGACTCATTTATGAAGATCCTTTCAGCGCACTGTTCTGTTTACTTTACCTATTTCTCCTTGAAGATTGACGACTATTCATGTGGTGCATTTAAACTATGAGTCAGTAATTAGATCGTCGGAATAATTCAGCAAACGGTTACAACCATGTTACGATCAGAAATCAGTGAATTACTCATGACAGATGTGTGCCTGCCCGAACTAGAACCTTACCATCCAGTCCCTCTTAGCCTAACTGATCAGCCATAATGAGGAAGAACACCCTCGTCTTGGGTCCAGCCAAAGCAGTTCTATACATTTTAGAGCAGTTCCATGCGTCAAAGACAGACTGCAACATCCTTTCCATGCAAGTCGTCGCGTTGGCAGAGCTGACTATACTAAAAAGATTAAAACGATGCCTCACGAACACCTTATGATTAAAAGTAGTCTCAAGTGGGTATTCACAAGCTATCTTAAAGTTAGCCCAGAAATCTCCGTTCTATGGAGGCCCTGAGAAGCCGAGGGCGAGCGCTCAACGGTTTCGTGTGGGATAGTTAGCGAAATACCCTTCAAAACTACGCAAACTGTAGAAAAGCCTTCAACCGTTGTTTGATTCGCTTCAGGAGTCTGTTAGTTCACGCTTTGCTGAAATATTCAAACCTTTCAGTGTGGATGACTGAGTACTTCAAGATTATTTTGAGGTAATCGAACACATGATCATTGGACTTAAGCGGTCAACTGTATGGCAGACTAAAACAATCGGGTCTACACCAACTTGCACGAGGTGGGTTCTAACAGTTTAAAAAATGTACACAATGAAGCTGTAAATTTGATCGTTTAATTAAGCACACAAGAGGAACAACACACTTATTAGCAAACAAATCTTCCCCGCGGTGGGGCCAGACTTTGGATAGACAAGTCCGTGAACCGCAGTTCAGCGGCGAACTCCTTCGAATACACTACTAATAAAGAATGCAAAGTCCAGGAGGAACTCATAAATGTCTTCTTTATAGAGCACATCAGTATACCGTATAATCCCCAATTGTGTTATCGATCCTGTAGTTGGTCATCTTCGAGCGCAGGTGCTAAGTTTCATAAACGCGAGAAACATCTCGCCACTTAGGACAGGTAAGCGTTGA